CCTACTACTATATATATATATATATATATATATATATATATATATAGTGAAAAAATCTCGAGACAGACGGTTGAGTTCACTTTTACAATCGAGCAAACGATACATCCCCATCGCTTATCCTCCTCGATTAACCCACAACCAACGATATCTTCGCATATCCGCCACTATTGGACAACAAACTACGATATTCTTCTATTCACTAAATACATTTCCCGTAACGTATTCCCAACTCAACGACCTATCAACTAACCGACAGTCAAATCACTGTCCAAGACAACGACAAGGGAGTTTGTTAATTGATCATATTACTTGCTTTTTGTATAACTCGTTTATCATTGCTTACCAATTCATTGTGTTATATACATACATATTTTAGACCCTTTTTCTTGTTGTTAACTAGTAATATTGTGCAAGAACAATATTACCTCCCGAATAAATCTGTATCGCCGAGAAGCGAGTTCAACAGAAAAACAATTTCTCAACAATTCCCATCTGCTAATAACTTTTGTATTTCCTCAAACTTTTTCTAGACATTTCATCGAGGTATGGAAGTAGCAATCATCTATCTGGCGTTGAAACACAACAGGAAAATCACTGAAGTTCCAGACAAACCGAGAAGTTCCTTTCTTACATCTCAACTCTTTATAGGTGAGCGATAACCGAAGATGAATGAAATTTTTATGCAAAAAATGAATGCAGTGATAGTTTCTGATGATTTTAATCCAGTTAAGGGCGATTTTTGTTCAACTCAAACAGCAGCATATGGAGCAATGTCTTTTATTTCCTTTGAATTCACCCTAGATATATTGTACCATGTTTCAACACCTCTCGAATACTGTCATTCTAAGTTCGTGATTTTAACCTGGACTAATAGAACGGGTTCGTCGACCACGTATTTCATCCAGTTCTGGTATCGAATGAATTTTCTTCAACGAATCTCTTGCAGTATCACGTTCTTCCTTGGCTTTTTTAATAAGACCTTCCATGACAGCAATCCGACGATTGGAATCATTCAATTCGTGCTCCAGCTAAAAAAGGAAATAATTTAGCGCATATTTTGTTCCACAATCAGCTGTATGCAATCATTTAAGGTGATATATCTATAACAGCATTAAGTAATTTATGATGTCTATCACGTGAATCGCTCTGTTCGGTATGCATAAAGGATAGATTGAACAGAACCGTCTCAATGAAACAGGATATTAAGCTATCAGTGCATATCTTCCATATATGGAAAAGTATGACCTTAATACTGTGGATAGCCGCATCTTCATATTTTTTCAATAAATCATTTATCGCATCTTCATCCTTTGTTCCTTCAGGTGTACCATGTTTTCGCTGAATAAATAAAATTTAGTCCAACAAAGCTCGATAAAGGATTACGACTCTGCAACTCTCTTTATTGTCTGCAGCATGTTCTACAACACACCGAACTTGGTAAAATTTAAAAATGAAATAAAGTTTAACACCGTAGCGCTGTACGGGAAAGTGAAAACTCAATGAAGAATTCAGTGATATCCACAGCTAGATGACTTCAACAATGGCGTTATCGAAAAGTTATGTATATTACTTACTGTGTACTAGAATTTAACTGCTCATGTTATTTTCTACATATGTTGCTTACTTACATAAAAGATATCTTTTGAAATGATTATGTTTAAACACACGTATTACTAATGACAACACATGTAAAACTGATACAGAGAAATACATTTATGCTAAATAAATTTCCAACGCAATGATTTATCCGTTTAAATCTCGCCCTTAACTTTGTTATCCATCTGCATCTGATTTCTGCCGGTCATCTCTGCTAACGAACTTTATCAAACTAAGACATCTTTTTCAACCCTTGCACTTTCCTCAGTTTCATTCTAACTTTAGATATCTCCCTAAGCGATATCTTTCTCATCTATTTGAAAATCTTACTTAACAGTTTGTAGAAAAACTGCTTAATGGATTTCATTAACACCGAAAATCGGTTAAACAGAACCAATAATTAGTACCTTCATTTCAGCTTGGCGAACAAGTGCTTCCATGTTATTTGCACAACGTACGAATTCGGTTCGTTGCCGATCTAAATCGCTTTCAGTTTTCGTTCTCAAATCTTTTATCTGCAAAAAAAAAATTTGATAAAATCAATCATGGCAAGCTACCCTTGTGTTATGCATCATCCTGTACCTACTTTGTCTGTGTGAAAAGGGTTTACGGGGTTTATATTTTATCTTATTTTTTTGATAAGTATGTACAAGTACGCAATACCTCATTAAAAGAGATAAAAAAGTGAACTGAATATGCAGGTAGTTCTGATATATTGACAACTATCAAATTTGATGAAATTTAATTCTGAGTAATTTTACTGCTTTTAATTTTGAAATTAACAATGGTCGAAACAAGATCAATTTGTTAAACATGAAACTGTAGCATAAGCGGTGATAACAAACGCCATGTTATTAACTGGGAATAACCTTCACAACCTAAGGCGACTAGAAAAGTCTGAATGTATCAAAGAAACAAAAACTGTGGTTCATTTTTACCTCAATCCACACTTGATAGGCTTAAAAAGACCTAGCATCTTTTGTTGGATGGATGAATAAGTAACTGGAAAAGACCCCCCGATAACGAAAATACAGCTTTGGGACTTCGTTTCTTGCTATATTACAAGTAAGAATTAAACTTCTCAAATTTAAAGATTGAATCAATTCACTCGTTTAGTCAATTGGGGCTACAATGTTATCAAACAAAAAGGCTGATTTAAATGTATTCCAATTCGCACCGACCTAACTTCATTAAAAAAAATGACTAGCAACCTGTCGTCGAAGTCTATTGAAAGCTACCCACAATTCGAGCATATGCTGGTGTTGAGCATTTACTGCACGTTTCCTTTTCTGTGAAAGTTAAGAAATTTAAAATTCGAAATTGAAATATAAATTCATCTATTTTATCATTTTAAAATAATATTTAATAAGCGAATTCTTTTATCATTTTAAAATAACATTTGATAAACATTTGTTAACTTTTTCGCTGAGCACTTGTTCGCATTTAAGGAAAATCTCCGCCAGTGCTTTGGAATATAATCTACAACATGTTCATCAAATGATAACCAAATTGAAGTAAAGAATAAAAGACTACCAGTTAATCTCGCCTACTAAATGTTGCAGTTTCAAACTAGCTGTATCAAAGGTAGAATCAGATATGAATCTTGCAATTTTGATGGTTTTAAGTTTGAAACAAAAAATTTCTGCTTATTTCAAAAAGGTGATTTATTACTTCATCGTTTTGTCGCAGGGAGCATCGTTCCATTTCCCTTTCATGGGTTATCCTCATCAATTCTTCCTGAGTTTTTAGCAATTTGTCTTTCAAATCTTGATTCGTATGTATAACAACTTCTGCTTGTTCCCGATATATAACATTTAGATCTTCCAATCTATCGTTCCTGTAATATCATTCTTTCTCTTCTGTAAATAATTCATAGCATATACAGTTGGTGAAATCATCTTTAACACAAGAATATCCACCTATATAAATACATTTTTATTTTTATTTGTCCTGTATAACTAAGTTTATAGTAAATGTAACAATTCAAGATTAGATTTTGATCTATAATTTTTTTATAAAAAAATAACTTAAAAATATATGATAAACGCCTATATAAAACCTAAGTTTATTAAAAAGGAGCTTCATGCACAAACTATTACGAGTCAAAAAAAATGACAACAGCCTGCATAGAAAAATAAACGAAAACTGATATCGAAGTATGCTTTTAAATGAAGCTACACGCTAGGAAGATATCTATTTCAAAACATACCTGATTTGTTCATCACGTAATTGTTGAATGATTACATCAGTAGAACTATCAGGCAACTCTGTCTTAAAACCGGTATCAATTAAAGAGGAAGATAACAGCGGATTTGCGCTTATTCCATCGGGCCTAACACGTAATATCTCGGGTGAACTAAAAATTATAAGTAAAAATTTTCGAGCACGAAATATGAACACAGAAATTGAAAAATTGGGTTTTGTAGTAATAAATCAAATAAATTGCTCAGTAATTCTGTGCCAAGAAACTATATTCAAAAGTCCATCAAACCAGCTAATGATGCATGAGATGTAAGGCCATTATTTTGTGCTGATATCTCGTACAGCAGCTTAAACCGGGAATAATATAGTTCTAGTCTTTTCATATGAACTTTGTCGGTTACGATCTTCAATTCCATGTTTTAACATCGACTTTAACATCTTTTAACATGGAATGATTCCAAGTTCAAAGAATCTATATGGCGAATACGCACCGTGACAAAGCGTGAATTACATCATCGATAGGATCGACACCTGAAACCTGCGAAGCATTCAACTGAGCTACCGATTTTGCAGTGTGCTGTCGATATTTTTCCACCTGAAAAATTCCGAAATTTCTTAAGAACTTCATAGTTCCAAATTTTGAAACGATCAACAAAACAACACATATGTACTATGTAATAGACTAAAATATCCTTGGTTTCTCATTCTAGTCATTAAAAAATGTTCGAAAATGTAGAATAATTGGGTAATGAAACGGTATGACCAAAATTCAAAATTAGTAACAAAATGGGCACAAAACGGAGAAATCTTGACTTTCAGTAAATCATGTTTGTATCCAGTATCTAATATGCATGAACTCAACTAACCTTATTGCTCAAACCTGCCAGAACTTGACGATACTTCCGTTGTTCATCGACACTTGCATCAATTCTATTCCGATAACTGCTTAAGTCAGAAGACACAAAAACGACATCGGCTGGAGAATGTACTAGCAAAAATTTACAAACATGCAAAATTTTGATTTATAATTTCTTTGTATAAGAAATAACTCAGGCACACAAGTCTCCATGAAATATAAATTTATTAAAAAGGAGCTTCACGCACAAACCATTATGAGCTGCAGAACTTGATGGCACAGCATCATCGGAATGCATGATAAAATCACTCAAAGTTGCTTCGTCACTGAAAATACACATTATAGTAGAGCATAATTTTTTGAAATGAGAAAAAAACATTTCGGATTCGACAAATTCGGCAAAATGAAATAGAAAATCCATCAAGGTCTGTATCTACTTTTGAAATGTTCTGAAATCCTAAGTCCTTTCAAAATTCTGAAACCCTTTTACTTAATTGAATTTTAGAAATTGTGCAGACTGGAAAATCATACACGGTGCAACCAACTGCTTAAATATACTAATCAGTCATTTGAAAAAAAAAGGTGATGGGAAGGGAACTTTTAATAATATCTTCGAACAATTCATAAAAATATTGCTTTTCATTTTTAAAAGAGTGTTTTGTTAATCTATTAAGAACAAGCAATTTAACAGAAAAATTCGCGAAAAACGGATTCCTTTCTTTGCATGATTAATTTCCAACACGGTCATAACCTATGATTGGATATATCATCAACTGTTCTAACATGTCTTATCCTAAGATGTTTGTTGCCTGAGAATTTGTACATAAAATAAGAAACAGAAACAGAATCAGGAGTAAGCAAGGAGAGAAGAATAATTAGGAATCAAGTTATATAAAAGATAATTGTACTATCAGTATATCTATGATAAATTTCATAAGCTTACTTCAACTCATCTTATCCAACTTGAAAATCTAAAACAACATATCGTAAGGATTAGTATCAGAGTAAATGAAAAAATCAGACGGAAGCTGATACAACACTTAGTCTAGCAAACAAAATCGTTTTAACTTAATCATTCATCCAAGCCTGATTATCACAACAATCGCCTGATTATCCTGATTATCGCATCGTTTTAACTTAATCATTCATCCAAGCCTGATTATCACAACAATCGCCTGATTATCCTGATTATCGCCTGATTACCTTTTATCCTGAACAAATCAGGCATTTTTCTTTTGCTGCCTAATTCGTTCAATAATTTCCGTCTAAAGAACTATTCACTTTCGAATCTTGCTGATAACGTTATTTACCCTTGCCGCTCATTTTCATTCCTTATACTCATCCTATCCTATTCCTTATTCCTTAGTTAAATGCTTTTTTAAGCGAATATTATTTTTCACCCCGAAATTCTAACCTCTAATTGTGGATATAAAGAAGGGCCTTGCCAATGTCCATGTTGGATTTTTTTTAACTGTCAAATACCAAATAACTGGAAATGTCTGCTGCCACTGAATTAAAATACCTTTGACTTAGCAGCAGATGAATTCTTGATAGTATCAATCGGCCGGAATTTTTTCCTTACTAAAACACTTTTAGCTTCCATTTCTTTCTCTTTCTTCCCCTGTTTAAATTCCAGCGGACCGTTGGATTTTCAGCTACGATATGTGTGTTCAAATAGGAGGATGTTAATAATAAACAGAAGAGAGAAAATTTAAGGAAGTGCAAGTACCATTCAATGTGACAAAACATGTTTACAGTTGCTCTCAGTGTTAATAAATTTTCTTTCTTTTTCATTTGAATGCATGAGAAATGAGACATTTGGTCAATGTAGTAAGAAAATTAGCACCATTTTTCCAGAATTTCTTTTTATTTTAGTGTAGAGCAGAGAAACGTGTATTTTTCAACATAAATCGAGAGAAAAATATTTGAAATTTCTTAAAAATTAATTTTCCATTAGCAAAAATCTCCTTTAACTCACTATTTTTTTAAATGTGAGACAAATACTCCAAATATTATCAAAAGAATCAACTCTTTAACGAACTTGCACTAGTAAAGTTTTCACATAAAGGGGGACTTTTTTAAATTAATGTATTTGAAAGTGGACTTTCGCCAATAAAAAGCAAAATAATGTCCCTTCGGAAATACACATCCCTTTCCTTAACGTTATCATATATTTCATGCCCAACTAAATCTTAAAAGATGAAGCCTTTTTTTGAGGCAGCCGTTTCTCGTCAATTTTTTTTTTTTGTACGAAGCACAGATCACAAATTTACATACCTTCTTTAAATTTTGTCTTATTCAACATTGATTTGATTATAGAAAGTTTTCAGAAAAAAGTATTTCTGGACAGAAAACAATCAAAATTAATGATTGGAAAGCATGCAACCAGTATACTAAACCATTAATTTATATAATGTTTGAAAAAATGTTGAATGAATGATGTAGGCAAATTGACTCATACTGATAATTCCGGAAGACCGAGTTTCTGCTTTTAAAGCAGAGAATGTTGAAGATAAAGACAGAGAAATTAATTTGACTAGGTAAGCAAAAAGTAAGTACCGCTGGATGGATAAACAAATAAACACGACAGGTAAATAAGCAAAGTAAATTATAAGAGAAGTAACTGAAACTATACAGCTGCCACATGAATAGATTGCAGAAAGAACGCCCGCTGAGTTCATCACATAAATATAAATGTTCACGATTCTACAAAACGAACATCATCCATTTTTAAGACAACATTCCTGAAGCCATAATTAGCAGAAAAAAATATTGCCTGTGTTAGTCGGCCAGTACCACATAATGTAGATAATCAGAACAAGGCAAGAAAATGTAGATAATCAGAACAAGGCAAGAAAATGTAGATAATCAGAACAAGGCAAAGTAGACTCTAATAAAATGATTTAAGAACTAAAATCTTCAGCCCTTTTTGAAGGAATATTTTTTTGAAGTTGTCCCCAACAGACCAACAATCAATAAACTATTTAAGGCAATTTCGAAAGACCAAAAAAGGTTATGCCGAGGATGCTAATCAATTGCTTTAATTATTGATTATTTAACACTAAATGCATACAGTCATCTTTTTCTACTCTAAACAATCAACTATATGCTATTTCAACTTTCACAGAAAGTCCAATCTTCATAGACAATTCTTGAGAAGCAAAATGCTGAAGGAATGCAACCAACATTTTAAACAAGTTGCCAATTTCGATATTAGTGTCTTCGCTACTTTGTCCGTTCATTGTGATCCATTTCTTTCATAGTTTCTGATAATGAAAACCACTTTAAAACCTTCATTTTTCGCTTTCAAACAACTGAAATTTGTTACCTTTTATTGCAAAAAAAAGCGTTGCATTATTAGAAACAAACAGGACAATGATCTAAAATAATACACTCACACATCTCTGTACTGAGACAGGGAAAATATTCAGTTATTGCTGTCAGAAATAATCATATATTACCGGCATTTTAAATAGCAATGTTATTTGAATTTAACTCAGTTCTGTTCTTGCTTTACCTAAATTCACTTCTACTTGACTCACTCTAATTACGATCCTAACCCATTTGACGACAACAGTTTTAGATGTACACAGTGCTTGCAGATATTGGGAGGAATAAACTATCTTAAAACAAAAAAATTTACTTGAAAAAAAAATTTACTGAAAAAACTTGAAAAGAAAAGAAAATTGAAAAAAAAAGAAAATACTTGAAAAAAAAAGAAAATTTACTTGAAACACTGATAGACTAATCACACATTACGCAAATTTAAGTTCACCTTACATTTACAAACAATTCATGATAGTTTTCATGTGCACCTCACCCTGCTTCATTATGTATATCCACGTAAACATAGCCTTAACGCACTATTATATACGTCAAAATGTTCACGTATCTTCACGTTATCCAGAACTGGGGCTTTCTCCAAGACACTGATTGCCAATGGATAATGGAAAAGGCCCATGTTATGGTATTTACTGGTTTAACTATTTTGTTTTAGTGGGGTCTATTGATGATGTGTTGTGTGAGGAGTGCAGGGATGGACGGAAAGTAGTTAATTTTTTTTCTCTGAAATGCAGTTTCGTCAAAAAATATATACAGAAAATTAAAGCGGAGAACTTTGTGAATCAATACTTTATGCAAAACATTTCTTCTGGAATACATTCCGGTCAGATGAATTACAGGAGGATGCGGTCGGATCAGAAATGTAGTAAGAAATGTGATTATGATAATGTGATTATGATAGTATGGTTTAGGTGTTGGTAATAAAGAAATTTCCATCTGATTCATACATATTATAATCATAGAGATGCTAAAAGATTGAAAAATCGTTGTATTTGAGAATATATTATGATTCAGTCATTTGGAATTGAGTAAAGCATCCGTTCATCAAACATTATTTATACGTATGTATAGCTTCTCTATGAATACGAAAGATTTTAATTAAATTTCCAATTTCTTTTATTGGTAAAAATAATTGGAAATTTTATTTTATTTATGTCGGTAATGTTGCAAGAAATAAGAAAATTGCTGTTTCTCAACCGTATAGTTCATAAAGATTACGTGTTTTCAATTGCTATTTCGCAGCTGTGTGACCTATAAAGGTCTTGTCAATTTGAGTTTAGGACCGCAATTTCCCTTTTTTTGTTGTCATGTTGCCTGGTTGATGTTCCATCTTTTTTCCAGTCAGGTAAAAACATGCAGTCAGAGATATTCGGGAAAGACATCGATACATTCAGGTACACAATTTCTACGGTTATACATTGAGAATATAATTCTAATCCTAAGTATGTCGTAAACATACCACACCAACAGCCGATTTTCTACCTACCATTATAACATATTCGTCGATCAGGTGTCTTCAACTCACAATAATCCTTTAACTCTGTTTTCTGAATCAAAGGAAATTCACCAATGGATCTTCAATTTTAACACATACAGTTTAGATTGTTAGTAAAAGATACTATTGGTAAAATGTAAAAGGAAAATGCACTTTCTAGCCTAAAATAAGAAGTAAAACATTACATGTGCTTTTTTAAATACTAACTAAGAAACATGTCAAACTTATAATTAATTATTTCTAAAAGCGAACAAAATTGACAGAATGAAGAAATACTTTTCTCTACTGCAAATTTAAGAGGAGTAAGTTTTCTTGAAAGCTTTCAAGTGTGGTGAAATCCTTATTGTTTAAACTTTTATTTTAAACCGAATTTCGAAAAAACATGTTCTAGTATGATTACTGGTTTTAGCTCCATTCTCATTCTTTTTTACTGTTCTGAGAAGTGCATTGGTTAGATTTTTTATGTTTTAAAAGATATATTTGCAATAGAACGATCTAAATTTCTCGAAAAAAGTTTTCGTTTCAAAATTCAAATACAACCGTTATGAATAGCACTGAATACTACGAAACATTTTAAAGGAATCTTCGACACATTTGCATTTTTAGTTTGGATCTCCCAAAAATATTTTGATCTTCATTTGACATCTATTCGTCGGGAGGATATTAATGTTTCATTCAGGAATGAAACTTCTTATTTGAAGGACCAAAGAATAGAATGAACGGAATAGAAATGGAAGATTTTTGAAAAAATTTTGCGGGAAAAAGTTGATTAGAAATTCGAAAAGTAGAGAGATAAGGAAGTTTCAACTTTTAATCTCATACTTCTTATAGTATCTGTGAGATATTCTTATAGTATCTTGCGGATTATTAATAGTAATAGATAAAATTTTCCGAAAATTTTAAAATTTCAAAAAGATTATGGGAATAGAAATTATATGACACTGTATGTAAAGCAAGAAATTGAAATCAATAAATGTATTACAAACGGTGATATCAATTATTGTCGTGTTGACAGCAAGTAACCAAGGAAATGAATGAATGAGGAAAGGGAAGAAGAGAGGAAGATTAAGTAAGGCTTGAACTGGACAGCATTGGCATTTATTCCATTCCTGAATGTAATGAGTGCCGTTATGATATCTAACAGTCAATCGTTATACGAACTAAAGGCCTAGCTGGTAAGCTTTGCTATTCTACTGTCAACTCGTCATCTTAAAATCAATTGCGCCCAACTATGAGAACATCGAAAAATAATTTGACATCATACCTCTGCAGAAAAACTTAGTATACTTCAATCTCATTCTATAACTCATTTTCTTATTGGATACTAACTTCTCAATAATTTGCTACTATCATCTGTAAGAGGGCACAGCTTAGGTTGAAGCTAAACATCGATAACAGATTAGCCGAGAGCTGAAGCAAGTCTTACATGATAATATATCGTATTATGACTATAGCTGGAAATTTAAAATGCTGAAAACATTACTAGCTTAAAATAACGATGGAACTAAAATGGTTTTATGTGTATCATTCAATGGGATCCTAGCAACATCAAGACGATATTCCGAGCAAATGTGACAATATGCCAATGTTTCTACAATCGATTTTTTATAAAGGTCCACTTTAAAAGATCATTTGCTAACGTAAAATAACACTTCCGGTATTTCCTGTCCATAACAATAATTACACCAAAAGAAACTGATCGGTAAATGATAAAGGATAAAGTGTAACATTAATATTATCCTCTCAAAGATATTATAGCATAGGAAAAGCAAATCATTTTTACTTAAGCATTTAACAAAATTTTTGACATGGGAAAAATAAAGAAACTTTTTCATTGTTCATTTTTCAATTTCATTCCATCTTTCATCATTTTGCTATTGGAATTCATTGAGAGGAATGGCGCAGTTTGTCTTTTTTGTTCACTGAAAAATATCCTCATATTATAATAGTTTTCTCCTAAATGGGTCAATGGATCACAAATATCGACCCTTTTGTGACAAGAAAAAAAAGGATGAAAAACCAGCTTTTGAAAGAAAGTGAAACAAGCATAAAATAAAAATCATAAATGGATAATGCAAAGATATGTAAACTGGCTTGTGGACAATTTTCTCAATATTCGTTCTTGCTACCAAGATTCTAGGATCAAGATTATTATTGACATTCAGCAAGATTCTAGAATCAAGATTATTATTGACATTCAGCAAGATTCTAGGATCAAGATTATTATTGACATTCAGCAAGATTCTAGGATCAAGATTATTATTGACATTCAGCAAGATTCTAGAATCAAGATTATTATTGACATTCAGCAAGATTCTAGGATCAAGATTATTATTGACA